TGCAGCGCCCGCCCCTTCCTCTGGGCCTGGTAACCCCGGGGGCGGGCAGTGCGGGCCTTCGGCGCGGCTTAGGGGCTCCGGACCCGGCAGGAGGACCTTGCGGTTGGTGCGCGACCGAGTGGGGGTCCCGCCCCGTGGAGGGAGAATCAGAGGTCAGGGGCCGGGGCCCAGCTCGTTGGTCGAGGCGCCATTCGCTGTGGCGAGACACCGTCAGTTGGTGGGGACCCTAGAGGGGCCCGGGTGACAGCGGGGAGGGGTAGGTGACCTGCCGCTGCTGAGCCCGACGGAGCCTCTCGCTGCAGCTACGGGGAGCCGGGTGGGGCCCTGCAGCCATCCTGGGGCCACTGCCTTCATCCAGGGCTGGGCCTCCCCTCTGGCTATTGCTCTGCCCCTGGGGACACCTGCGTGCAGACTATCCTGGATAATAAAACCTTAATATGCAAACGAAGGACTGGTTCCTATAACGCGCACTGACCACCAGGGGGCAGACGCTCAGTGCGCGAGCTGCCTCTCAATGCGGAGCTGCTCCCTGGTGGTCAGTGCGCTCCGACAAGGGGGCGCGCTGCTCAGCCAGAAGCTGGGCAGGCGGACATCCCCCAGGGGTCCCGACTGTAAGGGGAGCAGGCTGGGCTGAGGGGGACCCCCCCCCCCCTCCAGTGCACGAATGTCCGGCATCGGGCCTCTAGTAGTCAATAAAGAGGCAACCGCCTGATCCTGGCCTGGGTGCCACCACTCATTAGAATGGACTTTGAGCGCTAACCGGCCACATCAGCAAAGAAGCTGGAAACAGCACATGCAAAATCTTCCAGGCCTTTGTCTTAAAGAAAGGTCGCTCCCGCTCTGAGATCTTAAACTTGCCCTGTAGCCCCTGTACTGCAGGGCCGATGAGACAGGGGGCACCCCTCCCTAAATTCTGTGGATGAAAAAAGTAATCTCGCAGGGTGCTCTGATCATAAATTCCAAACTGGGCGGTCATGGTGGGTAGTCTCGTCCCAGGCATATGATGTTTTTGTAAAATTAAATTTGCTTTAAGCAAGCGCTGTCCATTGTTTCTGTGCACCTAGATTATCACCTTTGTAATAAGCTTCGCCCCCAGCGAGAGAGCACGTAATCTTGTTAACTGTCAGGTAGTCCAATCCCCGCCTTGCTTTCTCTCATCTGCATGTAGGTTCCCTCCTTAATTTCAAATGCATAAAAGCTGCAAAACTGTTATTCTCTGGAGCGTTTCAGATCTTGCCTCCCAGCACAGATCATCAGTTTGGCTCAGATAAACTCTTAGAAAAATTCTCTACAGGTTTGGATGTTTCTTACATTGACACCACCAGGAGGCATTGCTGAGGCTAATTTTCTTTGTTGGATTTTTGGTATTTTCCCAGATTATCTACAATGAACATATGTTACTTTTGTAATTAGGGGTGGGGGCGTAAATGTTTTTTAAAAAAGTTCTAATTTCTCAATGTGTGATCAAAGATAGCTCGAGCACAGGATCATGATGCTGAGTTATGGGCTGGGGGAGAATTAAAAGGGGAGGAAAAGAAAGTCTGGGATTGCTGGGGGCTGGACTCCATGGGGAGTGGTGAGGATCCTGGGGTGGGGGGTGCGGGCTGCGGGCTGCCAGCTCCAGGTGGGCTAATGGGAAGTCCCAGGCCTAGGCTGCCAGGGCTACAGACACTTCGCTGAACCCAGGTGAGAGGGGGAGGAGCCTCAGGACACAGGACACCACACCTTCGTGACCATCCCACACTCTGGAAATTATAACTGGGGCTTCCCATGAAGGGGCTCAGTGACTGCCCACTGCAGGGCCAGGGCAGCCCCAGCCCCCTGTCTGGGAGGCAGTAGGATCTGCAGCCAGATTTGCTCCTTCCAGGGGAGGTAGGTGCCTTCCAGGAAGGAGCAAGCTGGGCAGCCCCCCTCTGCTCCCTTGTTTCCCGGGTTTCCGACCCACAGGAAGGGGCTTGGATGGGGGGATCCTCTCCTTTCACTCTGCAGGCAGGGCAGCAGATGGTTCTTAGGAACCTCCTGTAACTGCGAGAGCAGGGACACCTGGGTTCTGCTGAACTTCAAGGCCACCCCCCACCCAGGGCTCACCCCGGGGGAATAATCTTAGGGGTGGAGGGAGTCGCTCAGGGGGTCCCTTTCCCCGACATCTCAGTGTGTCAGCAGGCCTTGGGGATACAGCAGTGACCAAGGTTGTCCTGCCACCTCAGAGTTCAGTCCGATAGGGGAAGAGGACAGGTGAAAAGACAAATGAAGAGGTCCTGGCAACGCATTGACAGGTGCGGTGAGGGGGCGCCCAGGAGGCATCCCCCCTGCATGGTGGTGTGGGTTTTCCAGGGGAGATGGAGGCCGTGGAACATTGTGAGAGAGGCCCACGTCCTGGCATCAGGAAGATCTGGGCTGCAGTCCTGCCGAGTGACTTGACCTCTGCGCAATCCTTTTGACCTTTTTTTTTCAATCTTTAATTTCTTTATTGATTAAGGTATTACATATGTGTCCTCATCCCCCCATTAACCCCCAACAATCCTTTTGATCTTTTCTCGCAGTCACAAGATGGCTGCCAGAGCGGGAAGCATTGTTTTCCGTGCTCTTGTCTGAGGAAAAATATCAAAGGGTTTGATTTATTAATAAACATTTGGAATTTATGTTTTTTAAAGGTAATACTGGCACCTGGTAAAAATTCAAGTATAAAAGTATATATACAGCACATAAAGTCTGCTTACCCGTTCCCCAGCCCCTCCCCAGGAACAATTATCCTTAAAAGTTTCCATTTTCTAAAGATAATCTCTGCATCTTCAAATGTGTTAACATGTTTCAAAAGAGACAGGGACCCTTTGAGTTATGTCAAAGGGCAGAAACTAATGACTTAGGTATTTTTTTTAATTGATTTCAGAGAGGAAGGGAGAGGGAGAGAGATAGAAACATCAATGATGAGGAAGAATCATTGATCGGCTGCACCTGCACACCCCCTACGGGGGATGGAGCCCGCAATCTGGGCATGTGCCCTTGACTGGAATAGAACCTGGGACCCTTCACTCTGCAGGCCGACGCTCTGTCCACGGGGCCAAACCAGCTAGGGCTAATGATTTAGTTTTTAAAAAAATATTTTTTATTGATTTTTAGAGAGAGAGAGGAAGGGAGAGGGAGAAAGAAACATCCATGCGAGAGCAGGGCATCTATTGGCTGCCTCCTGCACGCCCCTACCAGGGATCGAGCCTGAAATCCAAGCAGGTGCCCTGACAGAGAATTGAACTAGCAGCCTTTTGGTGCTCAGGACAATGCCCAACCAATTGAGTTTTTCTACAGGCCTTTATGTACAATTACTTGTGTATCTGTTTTATTGGAATTAGAGATATCTCCAGGCATCAAAGTGACTCCTGGTTATTTTTCTTATACAAATAAAAACATAGGATATATATATGTATATGTGTATGTGTGTACGTCGGAGCCACACAGGGCGGGGGTTGGGGGCAGCAGTCAGCACGTTAACGGCCCCCCACACCCCAAGACCTCAGCTTGAAACTTAGGCTCACTTCCCACCCCCTCTGACCCGAGTCCTCCGAGGCCCCAAGTTCCGCGTCCCGGGACCGCGGAGCCCAGGCGGTTCTCTACACTTTTTTAAAAAGCAAACAATATCCTATAGGTTGTTCCAAGCAGCACAGAAAGACCCACCTCACTCTTTTTGACAATTTGAGATCCTTGCAGTAGTAGTTTTGGGTCCAACAGAGGCTGCCATCAGATATTGCCAAACTGTCTTCAAAGAGTTTGCGTCAATTATGCCCGCCTGCACTGGTGGAGAGGGTCTGTCGCCTCACACCAAGGCCAGTGTGGGTATTTTCTGGCTTCATCTCTTAATCTAATATGTGAAAATCATAGTGTTTTACTTCTTATTTATGGATAAGTGCGAGCATACAGATGTATTTTTTAGCTTTATTGAGATATAATTGACACACGAAATTTAATGTATACATCTTAATAAGTTTTGCATTTCTTTTGAAAACAGTTTTCAACTGCTCCAATTCCTGCTTTAGTGTGTATGTATTAAAAACATGTTTATTGCCATTGTAGGCTCTTGAGGGTGTGATTTAGCAAAATCTATTCAAAACTAAACTTTATTTGACCTTTAAGCCATCAAAGTGACTCTTGGTTATTTACCTTTAACAAAAACATAGGAGGTGTATATATGCATATAATACACACACACACACACACACACCCTGTGGGGGAGGAAGAAATTTTCCTCTACCTTCAAGGTTCTTTCAGCTGGTTTAATAATGGGCATCAGACAGATTAATAGGAGAAAATAACCAAATGTCTTTTGAGTTTGGTCCAGGTTCCCGCCCCACCGGACTATTGCCACTATTTCCACTTTCTATCATTTGCATACATAAGTACCTGCATACACGAGATCCCAAATGCATGAGATTCAGAGACAAAGGAAAAATGAGCATAGATAGTCCAAGCTAGGGATGAGGTAAGGTGCCTTAGGGGCTTCAAGGTCTTTGCAGGATGATGGAAGAGCAGATGCTTAACAAATAGAAGTTTGCCCTGTCCTACAAGCAGGCGAAGTTACCTCAATTTCTTATTAAGCACAAGCCCCCTAATTCAAGTCATAGGAAGTCAAGGGAGGAACAGAAGTTTCTCGTGGGCTGGAGGCTCAAGTTGCCTTTAGCTCAAAACAATCTCCATATCTCAGAGGCACATCTTGGGGTGACTCGTTCTGAACCCCTACAATGCATACAGGTTCATATAAATGTATGAACATACGTACACATATATAAAAGAATGCTTAACTCTAATAATTGTGGTAAATCTGGAAGCAACCTGAACACTCATCAGTATGAAAATGTTTCAATAAATTTTACTTTCCTTATGAATTGCTGTTTTAAAAATGAGTGATATTTGATGGGATTGTCAACTCAGCCTCTGTGAGAACAATTTGTCACTATCAATCGAAACGAAATTTCAACACGCCCTTTATTTTTTTTTATAAGAGAGCTCTTTATTTTTCTGTTAATTCTCACCCCGAGGACATTTTAAATTGATTTTTAGAGAGAGTGAAAGGGAGGGAGAGAGACACAGAGAGAAACATAGATGCGCATTGGTTACCTCCCGCGACGGGGTCTGCAATCGAACACGGAATTGACTGGCTACGTGCCCACGGGCCCACGCTCTATCCACCGTGCAAACCGGCTAGGACTTCACTCGCCCCTTAACAAGTTATTCCACTTCAACAAATGTATCCTCGTGCATATGCATCAAAAAGCATTGCTAAGTATTAAAAAGCGGAAGCCCCGCGCTCCGCCAGGTCCTCTGCCCCCAGGCCCACTCCCAGGGGTCCTCACCGCCGCAGCTCCGGCCGCCCAGCTGGACCTTGTTTCCCAGGCCCGCCTTCCAAGACTCGCGATCTGCTCTTTGGCCTCAGCCAGCCTTTCGGTCCAGGCCCCGGCCTAACCCCGGCTTCGGCCTCGTCACCGCCCCGGCTCCGCTCCCGGGCCCTCGTCACAGCTCACCGCCCTAACCACGCCTTCCGGATTGGTCCCCGCCCCCGACCATTGTCACCGCCCTAACCACGCCTTCCGGATTGGTCCCCGCCCCCGACCATTGTCACCGCCCTAACCACGCCTTCCGGATTGGTCCCCGCCCCCGACCATTGTCACCGCCCTAACCACGCCTTCCGGATTGGTCCCCGCCCCCGACCATTGTCACCGCCCTAACCACGCCTTCCGGATTGGTCCCCGCCCCCGACCATTGTCACCGCCCTAACCACGCCTTCCGGATTGGTCCCCGCCCCCGACCATTGTCACCGCCCTAACCACGCCTTCCGGATTGGTCCCCGCCCCCGACCATTGTCACCGCCCTAACCACGCCTTCCGGATTGGTCCCCGCCCCCGACCATTGTCACCGCCCTAACCACGCCTTCCGGATTGGTCCCCGCCCCCGACCATTGTCACCGCCCTAACCACGCCTTCCGGATTGGTCCCCGCCCCCGACCATTGTCACCGCCCTAACCACGCCTTCCGGATTGGTCCCCGCCCCCGACTATCGTCACCGCCCTAACCACGCCCCCTGCGTCATCGCGACCCAGCCCGGCCGTCCAGCTTAGTTCTGGTTTGAAATTGAAGGCTCTTTGGCTGCCGGGGGACTCCCCCGCGTTCGCTCAGAAGGAAAGCTAACACTCTCCACCGGCTACCGGAGCCTTGGCTACCTCCCAGCTGGCACCCCACTCCCCCGCCTCCGGGGGCGCCCCCGGGGCGAGTCCCGGAGTTCCCTTACCCCGAAGGGGAAATGCGAGTCGGCGGGGTCATGGCCACCCTTTCGGACCTGCCGGACTCGGTCATATTGGAGATCTTCTCTTACCTCCCGGTGCGGGACCGGATTCGCCTCTCCAGGTGCGGCCTCGCCCCGCGGTGGGGCCGGGGCGGGACGGGGGCGAAGGGCCAGGCCGGGTCGGGGTGCTCTCACGGCGGTCTCCCCCCTCAGGGTCTGTCACCGTTGGAAGAGGCTGGTGGGCGACCGGTGGCTGTGGCGACACGTCGACCTGACCGTCTGCAGGGTGAGTGCGGTAGGCCGGGTGGGCCTGGGCCGGTTCAGCCGAGGCGCCCGGGACGCACCCCACTCCTCTGCGCCCTCCGGCCTGTTCCCCCCTCTGCAAAACGTAAATAGGGGAGACGGTGCAGGGATGGGCTCAGTGTCGGAGTGTCGGTGGGCGTACGATCAATGCTGGCTGGCGATCAGATCACTTAGGATTATTATTACCGAGTCTTCACGGGGAAATCATTTTCCACAGTCAACAGAATTAACTTCCCGGGTAGTGCAACCAAACTATTTCCACTTTCTGTCATTTGCATTTTACTTTTCTTGTTTTTATTATGAACTATTTCAAATATATAGAAATGTGTAGAGGATAACATGGTTTCAGATAAATAGGTACTCACCACCTAGACTTAACCTGTTTTAGGCTTTGGCCGTATTTACTGCCGATCATGTACATGCAACATTTATTGATATGTTTACTGCACTTTTTGAAACCCTCCTCGGAGGTAACCACTATTCTAAAATGGAATCGTAGCCTTCCTTTGGCGTTTTTATTCATTTCCTATGTGTGTGCCCATTAGCAACATATGGTATTGTTAATGTGTTTCTAAAGTTTAGATAATGCTATTGCTACTCTTTAGATAATTAAATGCTATTTTACTTATATCCACCCACAATTAGCTTTATTCACACACTACTTTTTAAAGATTGATTTGAGAGAGAGAGAGAGAGAGAGAGAGAGAGACATCTATATAATAAAAGCCCAGCGACCAGAATGGCAGAATGAGGGGTGGCTATGACACGCACTGCAGCAGCCAACCAGCCTGATCCGGCCCCTATCGGTTTGTTTTCTACTAAGTCTAACTTCCTAGGATAAATTTTTGACAGCTTTTGCTATTATCAGGCTATGGCATCTTGTTTTGTTTTTTAAAAACCTAGATCTAATGTACCCTGGGCAGTTTGAGCCTTTTTCAGTTTTATTTTACACTAAAGGCCTGGTGCACGAAATTCGTGCCTTGGGAAGGGGGTCTCTCAGCCCAGCCTGTGCCCTCTCACAGTCCGGAGCCCCGCAATTGATCGTCCCAAAGAGGTAGGTGCCCACCTGGCCAGGGCTCCGGGATGGATCACCCCTGCAGAGGGAGGCCCCGCCCACCCACTGCAGCCCGTTGGTTGGTGGCCTCAGCCTCCCTCTTTGGGGTGATCATGGGGCCCCCGATTGATTGATTGGAAGGTCATCTGGATTGTTGTTCCGCTGCTCAGCTGTTTGGTCAATTTGCATGTTACACTTTTATTATTATAGATTGCTTACTTCTTTCCATGGTCATTAAAAAAGGGATAAAAATCTGGGGCAGTGGTTCTCAACCTTCCTAATGCTGCGACCCTTTAATACAGTTCCTCATGTTGTGGTGACCCCCAACCATAAAATTATTTTCGTTGCTAGTTCATAACTGTAATTTTGCTACTTTTATGAATCGTAATGTAAATATCTGATATGCAGGATGTATTTTCATTGTTACAAATTGAAAATAATTAAAGCATAGTGATTAGTCACAAAAACAATATGTAATTATATATGTGTTTTCCAATGGTCTTAGGCGACCCCTGTGAAAGGGTCGTTCGACCCCCAAAGGGGTCGGGAGCCACAGGTTGAGAACCGCTGATCTGGGGCTTGCTTTGCTGTTTTACTTGCTCCAGAACCTAATGAGAATCCACTCTGTTGCTAAAGACAGATCTGTTATGATCTTCTCTTTCCTTCACTGCTTTTGTTCAATTCTCGGAGTCAAAGTGGTGGGGTTAAACTGTTTTGTTCCCCCTGGAGGGGTGTCTGGTCGGGTGAGGCTGGTGGTGGAAGGACAATTCTAGGGGAGCAGGAGAACCCCAGCTGGGGCTTGTCTGACTCCAGGCAGGTGGGGACCTTGAAAGATCCCCCATATCTCTCACCTCCTCATCCCTATCTTTGGCTCTTACAGATGCGGCCTAAAGTCATGTGGCACCTCCTTCGCCGGTACATGGCATCCAGACTCCATTCCCTGCGGCTGTGTGGCTACCTGTCCGCAGGCTCCCAGGCTCCCCAGTTGTCCCCAGCCCTGATGAGGGCCCTGGGCCAGAAGTGCCCCAACCTCCAGCGTCTCTGCCTGCACGGGGCTGACCTGAGCGTGGTGCCCGTCACCAGCCTGCCTTGCACCCTGAGGACCCTGGAGCTGCACAGCTGTGAGATTCCCATGGCCTGGCTCCTCAGGGGGCGGGACCCCCCTGTGCTGCCCCTGCTCGAGTGCCTTGTGCTGGACCGCGTCCCTGCCTTTCGGGACGAGCACCTGCGGGGCCTGACGTGCTTCCGCGCCCTGCGCTCACTGGTGCTGGGTGGCGCCTACCGGGTGACTGAGGCCGGGCTGGAGGCAAGCCTGCAGGAGCTGAGCTACTTACGGAGGCTGGAGGTGCTGGGTTGTGCCCTCTCGGCCGACAGCACCCTCCTGGCCATCAGCCGCCACCTCCGGGATGTGCGGAAGGTCCGGCTCACGGTCACGGGCCTCTCAGCCGCCGGCCTGTCTGTGCTGGAGGGAATGCCGGCGCTGGAGAGCCTGTGCCTGCAGGCCCCACACGTCGCCCTGGAAATGCTCTCCCCGGCTGAAATACTCTCCTCCTGCCGCACCATGCCCAGGCTTAGGGTCCTTGAGCTGCAGGGGCTAGGGTGGGAGGGTCAGGAGGCGGAGAGGATCCTGTGTCAGGGCCTGCCCCGCTGTCTGGTCATCCTCAGGGCCGGCCCCAAAGAGCCTACGGACTGGTGGGTATGACTGCCACCTGGCTGAGACCCGTCTCAGTTTTCATTAGTGAGCAAGCACCTTGCAGAGGGCAGGTAATTAGGCTACATGGCCCGAAGGCCAAAGGTAGAGAGAAGTGAGGCCTTGCACTGCCAGACAACTGGAATTGTTTGTCAGTGTGTGGCTTCTGACATCAGCCAGTCTGGTCCCCACATCTGGAAATGGGAAGACCATCGTTACCTCATGCGTACGCTGCAAAGCCTTACACTTTACTGAGCCCCAGAGGTCTTCAGTGTAGGGGCATTCTCAGGGCGGTCCTCAGAAACAGGATGGGTGCACAGGAGTGTGGTTAGGAGCCAGGGCCCCTTAGGAAGCCTGGAAGGACGGTCTGCATGTGCACCCCACACCACTGATTATACCCACATGCACGGAGAAGACACGGGAAGTGCAGGCGTGACTCGTCTTTTGTGATCAAAATGTTAATGAAGGTTCTAAACTGTATTTTTTTGTATTTTCAAGTTTTTCGTAATCTATATTTTGCTATTAAAGAAAATCACTTGCCCTAGCTGGTTTGGCTCAGTGGCTAGAGCGTTGGCCTGCGGACAAAGGGTCCCGGATTCGATCCAGGCCAAGCACCCCGATTACAGGCTCCTCCGCCCCCCGCCTCTTACCCCCCCTCCAGGCCCTGGTCAGAGTGTGTGCAGGAGGCAACCAATCAATGTGCTTCTCTCACATTGATATTTCTCTCTGTCTTTCCCTCTCTCTTCCATTCTTTCTGAAAATCAATGGTAAAATATCCTTGGGTGAGGATTAAAAAACCCCCCAAAACAAAATAAAGAAAAATACTCATTTTCCCTTATCCCCAAAACAGTCAGTTTATTCAACACACATTTCTGCCTCTGCGATTGTGCAGGCATTGTCCTAGGTGCTAGGTCACAGCACTGAACCAGACGGATAAGACCTGAGGGGACAGGGTGGTAAACAGGTGAGCACATGCACAGTTTCAGAAACCCAGACTATACACCAGGGTGATATGAAGGAGGCGTATGTTTCGTAGAGCGGGCCTCTGAGCCAAGACCTGAGAGGAGGAGGAACCAGCCCTGGGAAGCACTGAAGAAGATGAAAAAGGCAAAGATGCTGAGCTGGGGGTGAACCTGGCATTTTCCAGGAACTGGAGGAAGGTCCGAGTGGTTGGGGGAACAAGGGGCGAGCAATAGGCTGTGAAGGGGTGAGGTAGATGGGGCCTCACAGATGGCTTAGGTTTTAGGGGCTCCTTTTCCTGCCTTTTGAGTCTGAACCACTTGAAAGGCGCAGGTGGCAGACTGAGGGTGATCATGGGCACCAACCACAAGATGAGCGTTACTTCTGATCTGTGCTGGGTAGGAGGGCTTTATGGGCTCACCAGCTGCCCCCTCAGCGGCGCGCCTGCTCTGTGGTGGGCAGAGCCAGGAGAGAGAAAAGAGGGCTCACCTGGGCACCCTTGATATTTTATGCCAAGCGCACCCATCAGAGAAGACCTGGATGTTTCTCCCGTGGTTTTCCCACTGGAGCGTGGAGTGGAAATTCCTTCCCCATCCGGCCGCATGAGGACTGGGGTGTGAGTTCTCCCCGGTGTGGCCACGGTCAGGGTCTACGGGTCCCACACGGACAAACCTGGCAGTTCCAGCTCAGCACCTGGGGGTCTGGGCTGATCCAGGCTGGGCGCCGGGGACGAGAAGTGTCAGGCAGGGAAATGAGGTCTGTCTGGAGATCTGGGGTTGATTGTGCGGAGTATGACGGAAGGGTCAACACCCTCTTGGGCTGGGCCCTGCTGGTCTTGGGAGTGGGCTGCAGATGAAAAAGCTTCCTTTCATGCTGCCTTTCCAGTAGAAATGGAGAAGCAAATATGAAGTTAGAGGCAGTGGTACACATGTAAACATTTTTTTAAAATTTAAATTATTGTTGAAAGTATTACATATGTCTCCTTCCGTCCTATTGACCTCTCCCCGCCCGCTCCCCCTAGCACAGGCCCTGACCCCACTACTGTCTGGGTCCATTGGTTATGCTTCTATGCATGCATACAAGTCCTATGGTTGATCTCTTACCCCGCCCCTCCCCTGCCTTCCCTCTGGGATTTGACGGTCTGTTCAATGCTTCTATGTCTCTGGATCTATTTTTGTTCGGTTATGTTGTTCATCACATGTAAATGTTTAACAGACAGTGTTAGCAGGTGGTGGTGGGAAGTCCTGATTTGTAACATTTGTAGAGTGTGTAGACTTCTGTGATACAAATACTGCCATCATGGCTGGTTTCAAGCTACCAACAGTTTAACAACCGATTCACAAAATTCCTGAAAGTTTAGAAGTTGGTTCTGGGCTGCCATGAGCACGGCCCTGGTGAGAGGTCCGACTTCTAGAGGACTCACTCACTTCCCTGGGGTGGTGGGGTTATGGGACATCAGACAGAGCTCCTCCCCTCTTTGGATTCCCCCTCTCCTAACCATTGCCTTCTCCCAAATAAGGGTCTGCAGACTTAAGAATACCCTCCACTTAAAAATACGCCCAAGCCCTAGCCAGTTTGGCCCAGTGGATAGAGTGTTGGCCTGCGGAACAAAGGGTTCCGGGTTTGATTCTGATCAAGGCACTTACCTTGGTTGCAGGCTCCTCCCTGGCCTAGGCCCTGGTCAGGGCTTATGCAGGAGGCAACCAATCAGTGTGTTTCTCTCACATTGATGGTTCTCTCTGACTTTTCCTTTCTTCCACTTTCGCTAAAAATCAATGGAAAAATATCCTCAGATGAGGATTAACCAATAAAAATCCTATATAATAAAAGGCTAATATGCAAATAGACCGAATGGCAGAACAACCGAACTGGTCGCTATGATGTGCGCTGACCACCAGGGGGCATGCATGGAACATGGTGGGTATCAGGCGTGGCGGGATGGTGGAGCAGGAGAGCGGGGGTGCCAGACCAAGGTGGGGCGCCGGTCGCTGTCATCGGGATGAGCCTCTGGTGGTTACTGAAAATTCTTTGCTCCCA